AACCATTTCATAAAATACATTCTAACCCCTCGCCGTAAAACCTGTATACTTCCCAGAAAATAAACATATATACGTAGGTATAAATATGCCAAAAATGCTCAAGGTATGCCATCATGCTCAAAGGTATGCCGTCATGCTTAAGCCTCAAATAATATGCAAGTGCTCAGGTATAAACTGTGTCAATAACTTATCACTGGCAGCCGGAGTCACCTAAAGTGACCTGTACGGCTGAATCTAGAGCTCAAATCTCAATCTCAACAACCAAACCTGCCCACGAGTCGGAACCACCTATAGTGGTCTGTACGACAAGCCTGGGTGTAATACATATAAACGCTCTAGTGCTACGATCACGTGAAGGCTGTGCGAATAATCGCGGGTCACCTACGAGTCGGAACCACCTATAGTGGTCTGTACGACAAGACTGTGTACCTAACTTGGATCCAAGCTGAGCGTGTGGTGCGTGAGGTGAACAACACGTGAAGGATTGTGCCCTACTCTGGGCGGGAGCACTAACACCGGGGGTGCAGGTTATGAGCTCTCTAAGCACTTCTAATCACTATTTAAAGCAAATGTTAAACAACGCTTACCTGGCACTTACCTATGCCTCCACAGCACCAACATGTATATATATGACATGTGAATGAATATATAAATTAACTTATATGCCACTAATCATGCATAACGACCAATAACATAAAAGGAATGGCATATAACGAATAAACATTTATACTAATTTCTGGGAATTATATGTATATAGGTATATACGGAAAACCAAAAGCCCACTCACTGGTATGTGGAAGGGTCGTAGCCCCCCTGCCTCGAGTGTGCACGCTCGTCCTCGGGATACGTGTCACCTATATGCGAATTAACTATAAAAACGTTAACTTTAAAGCACATAACCTTCCGTTCAAAATAACTTCTCATACATTGCTCAAAATGGACAAATGAATATACCAACGTGCTCTACACAACCTCAGGATCACAACCATATTTTTAAAATAATTTTTGGACCTCTCACGCGCCCCCACGCGCCAAAATAGGCACGGACCTACGCGCCCCCACGCGCGGCCACGTGCCATGCACACTGACGGTGTCAATTGACGCTGTCAGGAATATTCCATTAAAACCCCGGAATATTCCGTTATACCTAACCGGATACCGTTACTGCCGTTAGGAATATTCCGTTAAAATTTAACGGAATATTCCTGTTTCTTCTCCGGCCTACCCTCGCCGGACTCTGGTCACCGGAAAACTGAGAAAACTTCAAACTCACTATTCTCCTTCGTTTTTCAACCAATTTTCATGATTCTTGAACCAAAATGAAGCTTAGACCTAGGAGAATCACGATAGACTACTTTTAAAGGCTAAAAACCACGCGATCATACCTGTCTTCAAACTCAAAAACCGGCCAACTTCGAACCAAGCTTTCTCGACGTCCAAATTTGTCCAACGAAGCACTCCCAAGCTCCTGGGAACCTCACAAACACAACTATAAGCTTCAAAATCCCAAAAACTAGCTAGGTTAAATTTGCATGAACAGTACTCAAATCGGAGCTTAAGAAATCGACGTGAAAACGACTGGTTTCTCACCTGGAAATGGTACAGCTGTACTCCTACGAGCTTCACGAGCTCGAATATGGCCTTAGTTTCTTCGATCTGTGATGATTTGGTTTAGTTGTGTGTGTGTCCGTACGTTGCAGGAAGAAGAAGAAGAATAGAGGACTCGGGGGAGAGAGAGACAGACAGGGAAAGTGACAGAGGAAGAGGGAGAGTGAGACAGTGTGTGTGCAGGTGTGGGTGTGGTCCAACGCATGCCACAACACACAAAACAACCACTTACGTCAAAAAAACAAACTAGGGGCAAAGTTGACAATTCACATGTACGTTTTAATATTTCCGGGACTGGATGTCACACTCACAACCTTGACCTGGAAGAACATACGCATAACATCTAAATTCCAGTTGTCATCAGTATGAATTTACTTTGAAATTTACAGATCGCGCATTAACGAGAACTGCTGGCAACGGAACTCCAACCTTGATGGGGCGACACACAAAATAAAGATCTTACCAACTGAACCAGCCATTTGAATACATTTTAATTGACAAACATATAGGGAACTTACATAGTTTCCTTGTAAGCAGCTAGTTAGCAGCAAAAGTGGGTGATGATTGCTATCACTATAAAGGCATGAACAAATATGGTAAGGTTCACTAAAGCACTAATTATATTTATCTATCAATGATGGGACCATGCCTTATTTAATTAAAGAATTAGTTCAACTTCATTTATATCAACAAACAAATTATAACATGAATGCAAAAATAATATGGTGAAATAAAATTGGTGCCGACATTTGTACCACAGCTTATAAGCACAATTAAAAGATTTTCTATTTTAATGCGACCAAATTATCTTCATTTTTGTTAACAAATAGTTTGATCATTGTAACACGCAAGGTTTTAACTTAATTAAAAAAAAATAAAAAAAAACAATTGAACCGCCTGTCCACTACCTACCTACCACCACCCAGCCCTTATTCAAATTTTCTCCACATTTTTCAAAGTCGGTTCTGAAGGTGTGCAAAAGGTGTCACTGGATCCCCGATTCAAGTCCTTGTGAAACTATTTTGCTATTTTTAAGTTTTGCAAATTTATTAACTTAAAAAGTTGATAAGTTTTAGACAAAAAGCCATACAACGTATTTTGAACTAAAGACCTTTCAAGATTGGAAACACTCTTGTCCACTCAAAGTGGTGCTCTAATTTTTAGTATTTTAATTTTATGGATATAAATTGAAAAAAAAATAACAAAGAAAATATAGTATTAAAAAAGATAAAGGGTCTCCATCTAAATCTTGCACAGGCCCCTAAATTCTCAGGGCCGACCTTGCACGTTCTGGCCTAAATTGTACATGTCCTTCATCGTTCAATCAACATGTGCATTGCATGCACGCTCAGGCTTAATTGAGTTGATTATAAAAATGTGCTTTTCTCTTTGCACTCTAGTTCGAGTTGATCTCTTTCGTAATGTATATTAATTTAATGTAAATTATCTTATTGTTTATCAACGTCCCCGATAAATTAGCCATGATTGATCGACGATCGAGTCATTAACCATCTCGACATTTTAATTTTTAAGCTACATTTCTAACACCAATTTGCCCTTTAATTTTTGGTAGCAAACGTTTAAAATATAAACCGCCTGACCACACGCCGTACATTGCACAGTGGCGTCCTTTGTGTGCGGCTCCGAACATAAAGAACAAGCCAATCAGAAGCCTACTCCAAACTCCAGGGTTGCTTCGTAATTTCCGAAGTCCATCGTCGGTTGTTCCCAAACGAAACTTTCTCTTTCCATGTGCCCTTTATTTTGTCCGGTACGGAAAGAAACCTTGTCCATGTGGCTAGTGAAATAGAAAATTTTGGATTAGTCTGTCTGACCGCATGATATATCCACTCATTTAACAGTAACAAATGTATCGTCACTTTGTTGGCTATATGCATGTCATCTCTATTATTGGTCGTATTAATATTTTGATATAGCAATATGAGGATCAAATTCAATTAAATTACAAGATACGCTAGTCATAAATCATATGTAAAACTTGTTATCAATGAGATTATAAGAGTTTAAACAAAGGATGAAAGTTTAGGTAAGCTTCGTCTGACTGCATGATGTGTCCACTCATTTAATAGTAATAAATGTATCTTCGCTTTATCGACTATCTGCATGCCATCTCTATTATTGGTCGATATAACAATATGAGAATGAGAATCAACTAAGTTATATGATATGTCCGTCATAATCAGACATAAAACTTGTCGTCAATGAAAGTATAAAGAAATTTGAGACATCTCTCTTCAAAATGGATATAATTACCATTAATCTTACCAATACTTGAATTATACTATAATCAAGAGACTCAACTTTAAATCTGATGAAGTGACTTACATGCACCACTAAAAATATTATTTTAGCATTCCGATATAATAATAAAATATTATGTATAAATCTTTTTTTTCAGTAAGTAACTTATAAACTACAACTCAATTAGTTAATAACATTTATTCATGTCTTCGAAGTTTCGTGTTCTAAAAGCACTTCCAACGTGCTCTTTTGCCCTATGGACAGACTCCATTTGCAATCCAATCCTCTCCCAAAGTGGTGCCAGCCCATTCGGGCAATGGTGCTGAGGGGGAGCCCGTGGGAGAGCTTAGGCACAAGTCCAAAGCCTGAGCTTATGAGGGGGAGTGATGTAAGGCTAACGTCAACCATGTTATAAATTTTTTTTTTGCGTCAAGTGCGTGCATAACACGCTCGTGTGGGGGACGTTTTATCGACAAGATTTCAGGTGGTGGGACCCGCGTTGTAGCCCACTAAGTAGCAGTTGAATCTAGACAATTTGATTTCCAGATCAATGGTCCAGATTTTTCTGTTATAAAAATTAAAAAAAAGAAAAAAATAGAAATGTTTTGGGGGGACACGTGTCACAATCTGAACTGTTGGATTTCAATTTTTTTTGTAATCCGATGGTTTAGCTTAATTAAGTTATTAAAAAATTATAATTTTTTTTTTCTATAAATACCTTATCATTTTCTTCCACCTTACATCACATTTCAATATTTTCAACAATTCTAAACATGGAAGGACATGTCACACGACATAATTGGTTAAAAATCTTATCAAAATCTACCCATGAAAATTGTGCTTTTAGATGATGACGTATAGACGTGACGAGATCAATTAAAAATCATATTCGAAATTAAAAATAAAATATTTTTTATTATTTTAGAACATAAAAAGTATTAATATTTTATTACCTATTAACATGATTATTCAGTTTAAAAATGAAAATGTAAAAGACAATTACTGTTACAGTAATTATTCACCGGAGGAGATTAAATTACCTATTGCTAAGGGCAGCCTTTACGCAGTGAAAGTGCTTTAATCCATCTCTCCATATTTGTGGTCCTTCCCCAAACAGAACCAAGATTTTTCCATAAATGAACCAAAAGGCACGAGAGAGAAAATGAGGAGAGAGAAAGAAAGAGTGTTTCAAACTTTCAGTGAGTGTGAAGCCAAAAAGGCCGATACCAGCAGACAGTACGAATACGTTCTCTTTAAGACGGGAAATAAGAGAGGACAGCAATTAAGCTTCTCCATCACTGTGAAGCAACCGGTCTCCGTTCCTCTCTCTCTCTCCTCTTTCTCACACACTCTCTTCCGCTCGATCGAGCTTCTCCGATCCTTCAAGGCCTCTCTAGAAGGGTGGTGGGAATCCTGTACAGCTCTCCCTTTCCCCCTTACTCTGCTCCTCATAGTTGCTGCAGGTGTACAGCAAACCCAACACGCCGCCGTTTTTGTGATGGAGTTGTACGGACGAAGCCCCGCCAGAAACGGGTCGAACCAGGAATGGAGCCCCGCAGCCGGAGAGACCGGCCTCGAAGGTACTCCTTTACTTGCTCGGCGTTTTAATCTCGCTTCGTTTGAGCTCGATTTGGGCTATTTCGTTATCTGGGGTTTCTAGGGTTTTTTTTTTGGTTTGGTAATGTGGGGTTGTGATTGGGGTTTTGTTCTGGTTTGGGGGTGAATTGTAGAGCAAATGTGGCAATTGGGGCTGACGAGCAGCGAATCGTACCCGGAGAGACTCGGCGTGCCCAACTGTGTCTACTACATGCGAACTGGGTTCTGTGGATACGGTGGTCGGTGCCGGTACAGCCATCCTCGAGATCGTGCTGCGGTAAGTCCTTGTTCGTTGTAAGCTTGCTTTGCAATCAGCTAATGAGCTTTTTCGATACTGCTTAATTGCGGGTTTTGATATGTAAACTAGTACTCAAGCTTTCAGTGATAGGTGACTGCAACAGGATAAATAGGTTGTTTTGAATTTTTATAAGTTTGAGTGTTTTGTTGCAGGTAGTTTTTTGTCCCTTTACGTGAAACTAGATGATTGTTTGTTTGCTGAGAAAGCTGGGGAAAAGAATTGGGAACTTTTTCTGGAATTTATTCGACATAGTTAAACTAGTCTATATTTGATGAAAATGTTAGGCCTAATATCTGTGTTTTGGGCTCGGTGCAGTGGGAAATGTCGTCTTAGTTACAACTGCTTGGTTTTTATTGGTAACTGAAATCGTCTTTGCTTGTGAATTTTGTTATCTTTTGTTTATGATTTCGGTTTGATGCTGCACGTAGGTTGTGGCAACTGTAAGAGCTACAGGGGATTACCCAGAGAGAGTGGGGGAACCTGTATGTCAGGTATGCAGTTGTTTTCTGATCTGTTGTAAAATGTGAATTTCCTGCCTGATAATGACAATGTAGATCTGGAAACTTTTTGGCAACTTTGTTATGTTGTCCATTTATTTGTTTGAGCTTTGAACTTCATATGTGATTGTGGCATATGTTTGTCTATTGTGCAGTATTATTTAAAGACTGGGACCTGTAAATTTGGTGCGTCCTGCAAGTACCACCATCCAAAACATGGAGCTGGATCCTTAAACCGAGCTCCCCTAAATATTTATGGATACCCATTACGACCGGTTTGATTTCCTCTCTGACTCTGTCTCTCTGTTTCCCTCTCATCCACGTATGGGTGTGTGTAGACTTTTGTGAAATTTGTGGAGCAAGTGGCTCACAGTTGTTGTTTTTGTTTTTTTTTTTTAATTATATATTTTTCTATAACAGGGCGAGAATGAATGCTCCTACTATTTGAAAACGGGGCAATGCAAATTTGGCATAACCTGTAAATTCCATCATCCACACCCTGCTGGAACAACAATACCGGCTTCTGCACCCCAATTTTATCCGTCGGTGCAGTCTCCTGTTCCTTTGGCAGAACAGTATGGGGGGGCATCCACCAGTTTGAGGGTGGCTAGGCCTCCACTATTAACTGGATCATATGTGCAAGGGACTTACGGTCCTGTCTTGATTCCTCCTGGAGTTGTTCCGATTCAGGGTTGGAGTCCGTATTCGGTATGATAAAGACATATTCAGGTTGATATATGATTGAAGTTCATTACTAATAGTAATATGTTATGACTTGGTGCAGGCACCTCTTAGTCCTGTACCATCTCCTGGAGCTCAACCCACAGTTGGAGCAACTTCTTTATACGGAGTAACACAGCTATCTTCTCCAACACACGGACTTGCAAGCCCTTATACCTCCATACCCTCTTCTGTTGGTCCTTCTAGCAGCAACCCGAGTGAACAAGTTTTCCCAGAGAGGCCTGGCGAACTTGAATGCCAGTACTATCTGAAAACTGGGGACTGTAAATATGGACCATCTTGTAGGTATCATCATCCTCGGGATCGAACTGTACCGGGAATAACTTGTCTCCTTAGTCCGATTGGTCTCCCACTCCGTCCGGTATGCAAAGTTGTTTTATATTATTTTTGATGAATTTTTAATTTTTTTTTTTTTTAAATTCCGCTGTTAGAAGTTATCGAGTTCATCACTTGGTTATCCAATTTGGTAGACCCAAGAGTTGTTTTTCTTTTACTCGATTAAACAGTAATCTTTTTCCAAAAGGGGATTGTGGGATCCTACTATCATATCTAAGGGCATACCTGGTTGACCTCCTTTGTACAACCAAATGAAATACAAATTAGGTGGCAAAGAAAAGGCTGTCATGCTATGTTTATAGGTTGAGTAAACTTGTTTTTCATTTTGATTGTTCTGCAGTATAGGTAGGTATGTTCGTTTACCTTGGTCTCGTTAGCAGTCTTCTTTTATTAAGGTTATATATTGTACAAGAATCTTTGCCATTGAGTTCTGAAGAAGTTAATGCTCAGTGTTGTACAAACCTGATTGGTGATTGATGTAATTTAAGGAGGCATTTTGATATTTAATGAGCATCAACCAACAGGGGCTCAGTAGGGTGGCTGAGGCACATGGGTTTGTCCTGTGTGGTCTCAGGTTTGAAACCCAAAGTTACCTATCCAGATTTGCTAGCGTTTCATGCCCCCAAATAATTTAGGGTTGTACGGTGGGCCCCAGTTTAGAAGATGTGTCAATGAGCATAAGTAGTTGTATGGTTAATGTAGGAATAATGTTTATGTGTAATGTGCTCAATATAGGAATCAGATGACACGGCAACACATTATAAGTTGTAACTCGAAAAGCAAATTTGCCTCTGGTTGCTGAAAAACCTTATGAAATAGTTATCTATCCAAAAGGTCCTTTAGAATAAAGGAGCAAGATGACAGAAGGTTCCTTGACTGGAAAACCTTTGCTGCAGTCCTGAAACAAAATAATCTATGCTGTGTATGCCCTTGCAATGATATATACGTATCTTAGCTTGAGTTTTGTGCTTCAGCACTTGCATCATTCTCAGTGCTCACTTTAAGTTTTATATTTTTGCTTTCTCTATATTACGGTTACTTTTTATCAGTTTGTTCATCGTTGATAGAATTGCTATTGCCCTTGTTCTTTGAGATGTCTTTCCCCTCTAATGTAGGGTTGCTTTTCTTTATCTGGTCTTGCTGGTTCAGTCTTCTTCTTCACATTTTTTGTTTTATTATTTAAATTTGGTTAGCTGCTTTGTAACAAAAGTATTATCGTGAAGCAACAGACGTTTTTAGATTTTTTAATGTTAGATCTCGTGCCTTTTTGTGCCCGCGTTGATTATTATGAGCATTATACCATATATGTGGTGAATTGCGTATATTTCATTAATTTGTTAAACGATGTCATTCTATGGAGAAAATTAACGTGCTTTTGTTTGGACAGGGAGAGCCACCGTGTAGATTCTACCTGAAAAATGGTCAGTGCATGTTTGGATCTACATGCAAATTTGACCATCCAGTGCAGACCATGAGGTACAACCTCTCAGCTTCATCTCTCGTTGATATGCCTGTTGTTCAATATCCGGTTGGGTCTCTGCTGGCCACCCTGGCTCCATCATCCTCATCATCGAATCTCCGGCCCGATTTACCTTCTTCTTCCGGGAACACCTCAAGTAGTTCAGGTGGATTGATTTTTTCACAGAGCGGTTCTGTTTCACTATCTGATGTGCAACTGTCCAGTCAGACTTCATCTCCTTTAAGCAATAGCAGAAGGGCGAGACCAGGTGGCGAGTTTCGTCGATCAATTTAAAGTAACACCCAAAGCCGCTCGTTCATCATCTCCAGGAGCGCTGTTCATATAGATGTCGTCAGTAAATGTGTAACGAGTCAATTGTGCAAAGGGCGTCATATTTCGGTCCATGAACCAAATCTGTTTATCCCACAGAGTAGTAGGAAAGGCACACACACTGTTGATGCTTGTGTCGATTCGATATCACAGCAATCCAATACAAATTCCAAATAAAGCTGCAGTATTGAAATTTCCCGTATCTTCATTTCATCTCTTTCAAGTGATTACAAATGTATCGTAGAAGGTAAATTTTTTTAGTGTTCGTCTAACCACCGGTGTTCTCTTCAACATTGCAAGAGGGATCATTGAGAGGCTAGGCACCCTTGCTTTCCAAGAGATTGGATTGATTTGGGGCGTCAAAGATGAGCTCCAGAAGCTCAAGGAGACAGTTGCCGGATTCCAAGCCGTTGTTGACGTCGAGCAAAAGCAAGCCAGCAACAATGAAGTCGAAGTGTGGCTCGAAAGCATAGAAGATGCAGTTTATGAAGCAGATGACGTGCTGGACGAGTTTAATACTGAAGCTCAGCGCTTCTTCTTCTACTTCATCAACGGAAAATATGTCGTTCCCATTGCCTTCTTGTCCGTCTTTCTTGTTCGACCATCATTCAGTGTCCTAATCTAACTTCCATGCCTCTGTATCCAAATGTGCTTTCCATTGAAGATTGCCCAAATTTGGCATCACTGCCATATCAAGGGATGGGCAACCTCGCATCCTTTCGCGAGCTTATACTTAGGAAATGCTCCAATTTGACGTCAATGACACACAAGGGATCGCCAATCTCACATCACTTCAGAAGCTTACAATTGGAGATTGCTCTCAACTGACGTTACTGCCACAAGGGATCGTCAACCTCACATCACTCCAATCGCTTACGTTTGAATTTTGCCCAAATTTGGTAGCACTACCCGAAGAAATAAGCAATCTCACGTCACTGCACTGCAGCACCTTGCAATTCAATGTTGCTCTAATTTGGCATCACTGCCAGAAGAAGAAACAGATGGGATGAAGGAAGCCAATAACCATGCAGCTTTTGCTTATCCATGTGCCTCATTTCTGCGGATGAGATAAACGAAAAACGGGTTTGAGTTTCCACCATAAAACTAACTGACAGTAAGGAAGTAGCCGTCCATGCAGGTCCCTCTTCATATCTTTCTTTGTTGGTTTGCTTGCATTGTTACTTAGTGTGCTTGTTTTGTACCTCGTTTCTTCCATTAATATCTCACTTGAAAGAGCTCGAAATTCAGTTTTGAACTGTGTAGTTGGATGGTGGCATATTTTATACACAATGTTCGTTGTTGAGCAGAAAATTTTCAATGTAACGAGAACACGAGTGGTACACCACATGTTTTTATATAAGTGGTGAGAAATTTTAGTTTTTAAGTTATTAACTTTTTAAATACATATTCCACAATTTCTATAGTAACACGTGATGTACCTCTCCGTGTGCCCGTCACACTGAAAAATTTCTTGTGGTTGAGCTTCAACAGCGGATCAAATGTCTCACTGTTGCATGGAAGCATGAGAGCCCTAGACCTTGTAACAACAAAAATACACTTGGCCTTCTTCCTTTGTGAATCGCGACAGGGGCAACCATAGCCTTTCTTCCAGATCAGTGCCCTTCCGTCGCAGCTTTCCTTATCGGCCTCGTAACCTTCGAAATCACAGCAGAAATCGCCCAAAACTCGACTGAGTTTTACAGAATCGGTTGCTGTCGTTCACCGCTGCAGTCCCTCTGTGCACAGCTCATTGAGCCTTCTGGGTATTCTTACTCCGAGCACACAGTAAGTAGTATACTAATATTTCACGCAAAATTGCCCATTATGTTCAATTGTTAAATTTGTGATTAAAGTGAGTAACTTTGAGATACCCAAATTATTAAATTTCACCGCTTCTTGTTTTCCAGATTCAGACGAAAGATGGCTACTTACTGGGTTTGAAATGTGAAGGACTAGTAGAAGTCGTGTTTATTTGTTAGTGCAATTTCTGTTTGGTTTGAGATGTGGAGGACTAATGAGATTGCTTTGGTGGGGAGTGTTTCCTCATAAACTGATCTGTGAGTAAAATATTGAATCTCTCGACGCCTGATTAGTGAAAAGCCTTACTTTTATAGCTCCTTCCTATTTTTTTTCAACGTACCACTAAGTTGTTTATTTCAGAATTTTGTTGGTTGATAAGCATGGAAGCTGGATCACAGATGGATTGCTGCTGAAGAAAGGAAGAAGAAGAAGAAGGTCGAAATGTTCTAAGTCTTAGAATAGTTGAATTTAAATACTTGTAATGAACGGACATGATTATAGCATCTCAATGGTGTGTATCTTGCCACGTGTTTTGTTTGATAGTAGTTAATGAAAACATGTGAGCTGCATGTGATCATAGTCACGTTGCTTATGTGGGTTTGCAACGACTATAAACCCCACCGTGTATCTGACTTTTGTGGATCGAATCCAACGTAGATTCGAGGAGCAATGTACTCCTTCTCTCTCTCTCTCTCTCTCTCTAAAGTTCATCTCTGATATTCAATCTTAAAAATTCATTTTCAATTACTTGTTGAATTGATTACACAAACATAGAGAAATTAAGTTCAAAAGTAGCTCAAACATTAACATAGCCTTAGAGCCAGGTTGGATTTGAATCAGGGAGTGAATCTGTGAGTGTTCATCTGGGTTTTCAACGAAGAACTCAGACGCACAAATATGGTTGGATCTAGCACCGATCTTCGTGCACCAGTATTCACTGGTATCAACTATGAATTTTGGTGTATAAGAATGAAGATTATATTTAAGTCTCACAATCTATGGAGCTTTGTTGAAGCACATTGTCGAAGGAAAGGAAGAAGACGGATGAGAAGCAAATTCTTACTGCTCAGGATCTCATCTCCAAAGATGCAAAGGCGTTGGGATTGATACAAGGTGCTGTGAGTGATGAGATCTTTCCTAGGATCGCAAATCAAGAAACTGCAAAAGATGCTTGGGATGTTCTCAAGCAGGAATTTAAAGGTGATGCTCAAGTTATGGCTGTGAAATTACAAGGTATTTGCAAAGGTTTTGAATATGCTAGAATGAAAAATAGTGAATATCTTTCTGATTATCTAGTTAGATTATTTGCTCTTGTGAATAAGATGAAGATGTTTGGTGAAGCTTTGCCAAATAAGAGACTAGTTAAGAAAATGTTAATTAGTCTAACTCCTGCATATTATAACATTGTGTCTGTCATTGAGGGAACTAAGAAATTGGATGAGATTGATCTAAATGAGGTTGTTGCAACTCCGAAAGGATTTGAGCAGAGGTTGAAAATGCATACTGAAGATGAGAAAGTGAGTGATAAGGCATTTAGCAGTCATAGTATTCAAAACAAAAGTGGATCACATAACACTGGGTACAAGGGGAAGAAGCCTTTCAAATTTAGGGATAAGAAGGGTGATTTTAAGGCTAATGATAGGCCTCAATATGCTACCAAACCTTGGTTTAAGGGCTGGTAACTGTTTCTGCTGTATTGTGAGAATAAACTCATTTTTGCTGCTTCACGTTTTCAGCTTTTTTTCACCCAAAACTGTGAAAATAAGTTGTTTTTAAGTGTTTACCAAACACATTTTTGAGTTCAGCTTTTTTTTATACCCATTTTTTTTTATAAAAGCACCTCAGTACCAAACCAGTACTAACAAGGAGAACACACGAGAGGCATGTAAAATATGCGGGAATTGTACACTATGGTGAATGCATGTTTAAGGGAAAGCCAAAGTGTCACAATTGTGGCTGATTTAATCACTTTGCCAGAGATTGCAGAAGTAAACCAGTTCAACAGGTTCAAGTGGCACAACAAATGGAGGAGGAAACCTCTATGTTCTTTGCTTGTAATTCTGCTGCAATTGTCAAAAGTGAGCATGTTTGGTATATTGACAGTGGATGTAACAATCATATGACTTCACATAAGTCTATGTTGATTAATTTGAATAGAAGTGTTTCAACAAGAATCAAAATGGGGAATGGACAGATTGTTTAAGCTAGTGCAAAAAGAACGTTGGTGATTGAAACCAAAAGAGGTACCAGACATATTAAAGAAGTAATGTTAGTGCCAGGACTTGATGACAATCTCCTAAGTGCAGGGTAAATGATGCAGCATGGTTATTTCTTATTATTTGGAGATGACCAGGTTGTAATCTTTAAAGATAGAAGCTTCGAGAGTCATGTTGTTACTGTACAGATGACTGGCACTAGGTGATTTCCATTACTTATGAAGGATATGAATGGTTCTGCACTAAAAGGTAGTATTGAGGGTGATGCTTGGGAATGGCACAAAAGGCTGGGGCATTTGAATTTTAACAACTTGCAATTATTATCTGATAAAGAAATGGTGTTGGGTCTTCCCAAGCTCAATAAATCAACTGGTGTCTGTGAAAGGTGTATTGCTGAAAAACAACACAGAGATGCATTCAGTAATGAGTTGACTTGGAGAGCAAGCAAGCCTCTGGAACTTGTTCACTCAGATGTGTGTGGATTAATGCAAGTCACAACATTTGGAGGGAACATATATTTCTTGACATTCATTGGTGATGCCACGAGAATGTTTTAGGTTTATCTCCTAAATCACAAATCAGAAGTTTTCGAAGTGTTCAAGAAATTCAAAGCCATTGTTGAATTGCAGAGTGGCTACAAAATTCTAAAATTAAGAAGTGACAGAGGTGGAAAGTACAACTCTCATGAGTTTATTCAATTCTGTGAAGATTTAGGGCTTGAGGGACAGTTGATTGTGGCATATTCCCCACAACAAAATGGTGTTGCTGAGAGGAAGAACATAACCATTGTTGAAATGGCTAAGAGTGTGCTTCATGACAAGCATTTACCCTATGAGTTATGGGGAGAAGCTGTTAACACAGCAGTGTATTTACTCAACAGATGTCCAACAAAGGTTGTGGAACACAAAACTCCATTTGAAGCTTTCAATGGAAGAAAACCTGGTATTCAACACTTAAAAGTGTTTAGATGTATCTGTTATGGTCACATACCTGGACAATTAAGACAGAAACTTGATGAATCCTCTATGAAAGGTATCTTTGTTAGGTATGGAAATATGGAGATGGGATACATGATTTACAACTTGAGTAACAAAAAGATATTTCTGTCGAGAACTGTTGTATTTGATGAGAAGGGTACTAGGAGTTGGAATGCAGAAAGTGGTAAGAAACTATCATTTCATGCTAA